GTGGGACATTTCGTGCGTTTCCCTTACGGGACCCACATAGCAGATTCGTTGGAAGGGCGCGGGAGCTTTCGTTCCCCATACCAATTATGAATTTTTCAAGTTTTGCTTGTCACTACGGTTCATAGGTCCAATAAGTGTTTAGCTTGGTTTCGTACGTATTTCTGTGAGCTAGTAGACGTGTTGATTAGGAAAATTTTCCGATAATAGTTTGTTTTTGATTGCCAAAGAAACTCGAAGTCTGAAGCGCAAACTGCATGCAAATTTCGTAATTGATGATAACTTGTTCAGTAGGTAGGCGTATTAGAATGAATTAGTGGGATTACAAAGTCCGGTGAGTGACCGCAACCGTAACACGTGACTGGTTGGCGCGCAACGTCACGTGTCATCGATTAGAATTCGACGTGCCCTTTTGTCGTTTTTCCGCGCACTCTACGGCGACAGAATGGGCGTGATAGAACCTGGCTCTTGTACGGAGCGTCCTGCTAGGAGGACTATGGCAGTTGGTCGAAATGTGCCGGCAAGTGGTTTAGCCGGCACCCCGGGGCTAACCTCCCTTGCCCTGCGCGCGAAGCCGCATAGTCGCTCAAGGGCGCGACTGTGGTGGTTGGAGGGGGTATTGTGCACTCACCAGCGAGGCGCTATACCCTCTCACGTTGGTGCTGAAACGTGTGGGTACACATCAGTAGTGTAGCTGCGCGCTCCAGTGCCAACGTGGATTACGGTAGCGGTCACTCACCGGACTGTTAATTGATGGTTAATTCCGGCTTGTATTAGAATCTAATTGTTTGTGTGAAATGAAAATTTGTTCGAGACATGCACCGTAATTCTATTTAACACATTGCGTACCAAGCCGTTTTTGCGCTGGCGAGCTCGCCTGGCCGCGCGTGCATTGCGCATCGTGCGCCACATGGTGGCGCATGCGGCCACACGGGGCAGACATTTTTGGAAATCCTTTTTAGAGGGTGCTTTTTCACTTTGTTTCCTTATTATCTGGGTAAATCACAATTTTATGAGAAGTGCGTCATAATTTTTGCCTGCTTGACTTGTGATAAACATTCCAAATAGCTATCGAATGATCATGTAACAGCGATGGTGAGGGATCAAAAAATCTGCTTGGACCAAGTTCTTATAAAAAATAGCGATGGCAACAGGTTCGTTCCTTCACCCCACAATCTATTTAAGCATGTTTATTGACCAGCAGTGACGTTTATTCAATTTACAGGATATTCGTAGACGCATTTCACCCTTCACTAGACCTTGGATTAAGGTGGGTATATTACACCCACAATTTGCCGTACATTTATCATCGATTTTGATACCAGGGTAGAGTGAGCATGAGTAGGTTTTCAAATAGAGGTTACTTTGAGTGCCTAATACCACAAGACTTGAAAAGTATACAGCTGAAAGGCATGTGAGGTGGAGGAAGCGCTCCGAAAGCACTTACGCTGATGTTTTGTTGGCACATCACTTTATTCACGCTAAGATTTCGGCTGAAACAGATTATTGCGACTCAGTTGTATTACAGCTAGATTGCGGTGACTGCTGAATTTGCTTCAAAGAATGTGTTTTATTCAAGCAAACTTAATTGGCAACCAGGCTTTTATTAGAATGTCACGTACAAGTAGTAACTTATTGGCTGGAAACGTCCCAGTCAAGTATGTTGTTCTCCTGGTGAGATAACATATGCCTGCACAAACATGGAATAAACGACTACAGCAACTGTGAAGAAAATCGATTCAGAAATCGTGCGCCACCATGTGGCGCACGCGGCCATACAGAGCAGGAAAGCCGTGCGCCGCCATGTGGCGCACGCGGTACGCAATGTGTTAAGGGACTAACGGAAGTCAATTAGTCAAAGAAGTATTGGAAAAGGGTTCATGGGGGAGCAAAATACAGATGTGCATACCCGGCGATGCACAAATGTCAGATGTGGGAGTTTCGACGTGCATACCCGGCGATGCACGCGGGCTGCAATTGGCTAGAGTCGTAAATCCATCCATGCTGGCCTTCTCTCCATCCCAGGATAGAGCGTTTTTGTACGTGAGCCAATACTTCCAAGTTGGCCAATATTGCCTAATCCTGCATCTTACAATCCTCGCAAGAGTTTCCTAACGACGCTGGAGCTGGATTGGGATGGGACTGGTCACGCTTCCCGCGACCGCGATTTCAGCTACTAAGATAGGACGTAAGCAAACCAGCCCTTTTGGCACATCGGCTGGGACCGTATGCTGAATGTTGGGGAGGGGATGGAGTCCCCGACGGTGGACGGACCAACTTCAACTCGGTCCTTAGAACCGCCACAATTTGGCGCTTACCTCAGAACTAAGCCTTAAAGAGAGGACGGGTCCGTCCCCTCTCCAAGGCTTAGTCCAAGGGTGAGCAAGACCGGTCCTTCTGGCGAAGCTACTGGACCAGCTGCACCACTTGCGTCAGTACTCTCCTATCGTACCAACCGAGTTGAAGTAAACCGTCGACCGTTGGGGACCCCATCCCCTCCCCAACATTCAGCATACGGTCCCAGCCGATGTGCCAAAAGGGCTGGTTTGCTTACGTCGTTAGAACCGATTTGTCCGCGGCGCGACAAGTCAACGAATATGGGATTAGTGTGCCTGGTGATTAATGCGCAGACAGCAACATATGGCGCATACGCCGACCGGGAATCTTTTCCCACGCCCATTTAGCCGCCAATCGGTCCGTCTCCCGCCACATTCAAATCAAACATGGCGGCGATGCACTATCTCGTTGCAACATGTCTGAAATCGTGCGTTCATGTTTAACACGGCGACTTTCGTGTTTGAACACGTGCCAAAAACTCGGTGCTCTGCACACTCTCCGTGGACTGCACTCTCTCGCTTTCTCTCGCAGCCTTCCACCCTCTCACACAATAACACTGTAGCAGCGGCAAGTCGTAATTTGGCGTGCCGCCGAGTTGCACAAAGTGCGGGAAAATGAGCTTCAATCGCAAATTGAACTTTGCTCGTTTCAAACCTTTTCAAATACTGCTGTTCTAATGCTGTGCTTCCTTATCTTTGCTCGTTCGATGCCTTCTGAATTCAGAAGCGCTATCTATTCTTACTGGCGCTAAAGTTTCTTGCTATCACTTGGTTTAAAAGGCGGAAAGGTTCGTGTTCGCTTTTGCGTTTTATTTGATATCTTTTATTTCCCGTATTCCCCTCGTACCTCTATTTTATACGTTTTTGATTGATGTGTGCTCGTTCATATTCTGTCCTAAAGTTTATTTCCTCTCACCAATATTTCGCTTTCCAATGAGCTACAATTAAGGAAAGAAAAAACCTTTATAAACGAAATAATTAAAATGGTTCGTTTCGCTCCTTCCTCAGACGAACCTTATTATTTCGTCAATCCCCGGAGCTCATCAGTGAGTTGGGATTGGCGAAATAAAGACACAGGGGAAAGACGAATAAACCTTGATCTGACGTACAAACCCGTCGTGGGGATATTAGCCAAGTATATTAGCACTGAAATTCCTGCTATCAATATTGTTTAACGTTTCACGTGATCTTTTTGATGGCTGTTGTAACCGATAATTTCCTGAATCTGCTGTTGAAGCTCATGGTTCCAAAATGGTTTCGAGGCATTATTGGCCATGATAACCTCTGGTCCATCCCGAGAAAGTATCAACGGAAATTTAAGGGAAAAGTAACCATATTCGATAAGGGCATTTAAAGATTTCGAGAAGTGCCATGAGTCACTTGGTGTGCATTGATTCATCTTTGTTTATCGTTCGGAGCGCCACATGGAAAAAGTGTTGCCAATGTTATTTTGATTGCAGCTGCCAGCTCTAAGGTCGCAGCAGTCCGTTGCTCTGTTTGGAGGATTTTCGCCAGTTAATTTTGGCCCAATTCTAAGAAAAATTGATTTCTTTCAGTTCGTCGAAGTGAAATTGTTTGCGAGACATGCCCCGTCGCAGACGTATGGTAAGAAATGATGGATCCACGGAGACGAACGCAGAAATGAGCTCTGGGTAGGCATTTCTGTAACTGGTTATTGGGATCATATTGCACAGCTGTTACATAGATTGTAATCTTGCCATTCGCGACTTATCTGGTCGTGCTCATGACTAGTATAAGGGGCACGCTTTGAAGTATGGGCTCTAGTAAGGTGCTGTACGTTATTTAAATTAGTATGGTTCGATAGATAGTTGCTAAAACGAACTCACTGAAAAACTTGGAGTGGAATCCTCTTTATGAAATTTTTAA